GCATGGACCCTACTGTGAACCGTGCATGTGAGGGATCTAAGTTGCATGATCCTTATGAAAATCTAATGCCTGATGATTTCAGGTGGAACAGTTTCATCCTGAAACTTTACCCACTGCCCCCAGTCTGTAGAGAAACTGTCTTCCTTGAAACTGGTCCCTGAAATCAAAAGTGTTGGGCACTGCTGTTTTATGGGATGTAACAGAATTATGTACAATGTTACTAAAACCTAAAAGTTTAGACTGTCAGTACAATATAGGATATACTAAATGAAACTTGAATGGCAAGGGTAAAAACATGTATTTATTGAGTGCCTACTATATATGTGTATAAATTTTGATATTTTATATATATGAATGAATTAATCTTTTAGATTAACTTAATTAAACACCACTTTCCAGATAAGCAAACACTCAGAAATATCTATCTAATTTTGGGGATGCCAGATGCTGGATAGTCCCAGGAAGAGAACTTAGGTCCGGGTCTCTTGCATCCCTAAGTGGTAAGAAGTATGGGATACATTTTTTTTTCAGAGGTGTATGTGGAAAAGGTAAAACTCAGCATACATTTCAAAAAAGGATTAGGACGTTTGAATTAAATTTTCATTTTTGACTAACTGCCAATTCTTAGTCAGTTGTCAGAAAAGATAAACGCCATGTGCCTTTTACACTCCAATGGTAAAAGGCACATGAAATTCATCTTTGGGACCCAGGAAACCTGGATCTAAGTTCTTATCCTAGAATTTATTGAGCGTCTATTATTGTGTGCAATTTTTAGTACCTTAAATTTAGGAATGAATGAATCCTTGAGATAAGCTGTTAAACAGTACAGTATTAAAATACCAAAACCAGACATGGACAATGATACAATAATACAGTTATTGATACAAAGAAGTTGATATAGTCAAATGCAGAATGCTTCCATCACTACAAGGATGCATCACGTGGCTGTTTTTTAGCCACACCATCCACTCCCTTCACTCCCATATTTCTGGAAACCACTAATATGTTCTCCATTTCTAATATTTTTAATGTTATTTTTAAATAACATTAAAAATATTATATACATATATAGAATCATGGGCTATGTAGTCTTTAGGAATATTTTTCACTCACTGTACTTCAAGAGATTCATCCAGATGGTTGCATGTATCAAGAGTTCATTCTACTTTGTTGCTGAGAAGCACTTCAAGGTATGGATGTAATCACTTAATTATTTACCCCATGAAGATCACCTGTGTTGTTTCTGTTTTGGCATTTACAAATAAAATACTCAAGGTTTACCTATAGGTTTGGTGTAAAATAAGCTTCTATTTTTATGAGGTAAATTCCCAGGAATCCAATTGCTTGATAATATTGTAGTTGCAGTTTTGAAGACTGTCAAACTATTTGCCAATGTGATTGTATCATTTTATATTCCCTGTAGCAATAGGTGAGTAATTCAGTAGTTGTGCATCCTTACCACCATTTAGTATTGCTGCTATTTTGATTTTAGCCATTCTGATAGTTTTATAGTTACATCACATCATGGTTTTGATTTCCATTTTCCTGATAACTAATAAATTGAACACCTTTTCACATGCTTATTTGCTTTATCTTAGTTCTCCTCATCAGAGAATGATGTAAAGGATATTTTCAGTGAATATAGTATTTTGAGTTGACAGCATTTTAGAACTTCAGTAATTGTGTGCCACTTCTTTCTGGCTTCTAGAGTTTCTGATGTGATAAGCACTGTTATTTGGACATTTTTCCCTGTATATACACTGTAATTTCCTTCTAGCTATTGTTAAGACTATTTTCTTTATTTTCCGTAAGTTTGACTATGATGTGTCTTAATATTAATATTTTTTGGTTTATGCTGTCTGGGTTTCACTAAACTTCTTGACTCTAGGTTTGACACTTTTGCTTGAAAGTTGGGAAGTTTTCATCTTTTTTTTTTTTTTTTTTTTAAGTACTATCAGCCCCACACTATTTCTCCTCTCACGCTGGCCTCCAATGACATGAATGTAATTTTTTTTTTTTATCACCCCACAGGTCTCTGAGGCTTTACTTTTAAAATACAGCCTATTTTCTTCTGTCATTCAGATAGGATAACTTCCATTCATCTATCTTCAAGTTCACTGACTCTTTCCTCTGTCTTCTGCATTCAGGTTTTTAAAAAAATCAGTACAGTTTTCAGTTTTAACTTTTCCATTTGTTCCTTTTTTTTGTAATTTTTTTATTTGCTTAGACCTTCTATTTCTTTACTGAAAATTTCTATTTTTTATTTATTTGATGTGTATTCACAATTGCTCCCTGAAGCATTTTTATGATGGCCACTCTATAATCCTTGCCACATAATAAACACATCTTTGTCATTTCAGTGTTGGCATCTATCAATTGTCTTCATTCACTCACTTCAAATTCTTCTGGTTCTGGGTATGATGAATAATATCCAATTGTATCCTGGATACTTTGTGAAATACACCATGAGATTTGGATTTTATCTAACATTTTGTTTTGGGTGGGTTCTTGTGACACCACAATTGAAAGTCAAAGGAAAGCATTGCCTTGTTACTTCTAGATGTATATAGAAGTCCAGGTTCCACACCTGGCTTTAGCTAACAGGTATGGGGTGAGGCCACAGTTTTTTGTGATTTGGGCTGGATTAGAGCATTATTGTCTTAAAAGTTTTCTGTCTTGTTACATTGATTCTTCCTTAGTACTTTGGCTAGAGCAAGCAGACTTAGGTTGTGTTTTCATTTTAGGTATTTTTGTGTATTAATTTGTGTCTGTTGGTGTTTCCAGATTTCTGGCTTCTTCAGTTCTAATTTTGGAATATATGTGACAAAAACCCAGAAAACTCACCAGCATGCCATTTCTCACTTATCAGGTCTCCTAGGTGATATACCTCTTCTCTCCAACTTTGAGTCTTTTTCAATATTTGCTTTACACATAATATTTAGAGATTTTAGTTTTACTTAGTGAGAATGTAAAATGATACAATTTTTCTAATAGAACAATTTGGCAATGTGTATAAAGATTTAAAAAATAAATATTCTGTTGACCAAGCCATGCTATTTTCTAGGAATATACCATAAGCCATTTTTAAATGTCCAATGATTTATGTATGTATGCATACCTACTGTAGTGTTATATATCTAAAAATAAATTAATTTTAAAGTAGGTTAATTTTAATTAAATTATAGTGCAAGTGCACAATTACTTTTATGTAAACATAAGAAAATAAGATACATTTTATGTAAACAAACAGGTTGCAAAAAAGTATATTTCTATACAGTGTTTGTTTAGTATCTGTGTGATACTAACATGGTGGATATATGCTATTATACAATTGTCAAAATTCATAGAATGTACAACACAGAGTGAGCCTTAATGTAAACTACGAACTTTGGTTGATAATGTGTCAGTTTGTTCATCAGTTATAATAAACATACAACAATGATGAAGGATGATGTTTGTGGAGGAGTCTCTGGAGGAACAGAAGTATGTACAAACTGTGTACTTTCTGCTCATTTTGCTGTGAACCTATAACTTGTCTTTTAAAAAGTGTATACATAATGTTCTTGGCTTTTGAGAAAAGTTATAATAAATATCTATATGTCCTTTCCTCCTTTTTGCCATTAACTATTAAATAAGCTTTTATACAACATGCTGTGCAATGTTTAATGAAAGATGCTTCTCAGAGCTGAGGGTCAAAAAAAAGTGGTACCTGTCCTGAGAGTTTGATTCCTCTTAGAAAACATGAGTTATGAAAGCCACCAATATTTCCCTTTGACTCAGGAAGATTTGTATTAAGCAATTCAGCCTTTATCATAATGGACCTCTTGATATACGCCCTCTTACCCCAACACCCCTTTTAGGATGCATGGAAGAGCTGTTAAGGGATGGCACTGATGTAATGAGGAGGAACACAGGGGGATGTAATTATCCTAAACAGCATAGCTGTAAATTCCAATACTAGGGCACTCTGTCTCAGACAAATGTTCCCTTGCAGTACATACATTTTACAAAATCCTGTTTCATGACTATTATTAATATTATTATTACTATTATTTTAATCTGGAAACTGAGACTCAGAGACACTTAAGGAGTTGACCAGAAAAAAAGTCATCAGGAAGCGATGGAGCCATTTGTAGCTCCAAAATCTGTATATTTCCCATTGCACTATATTCATCTGATATAAATACATTCTGATGTGAATTCAGAATTTGAAGAGTTATATAAGGAAGAAAACCTAATACAAATCAGTTTTCCACCAGCCTACAGTTGCACTAAATTCATTTCAGTCTGTAAATTGCTCTTACACATTTGTTTCTAAGACATTTTCTCAGAATTATCTGTCCAAAAACAAATAATTTGTGATTTTCCATTTTTAATGCTATCATGCTATTTTCTATGAAGTACAAATAATTCAATCTCTTCTCTTTTCTATGAGAAAAATAATTCCTTTTTTACCTACAGAACAGAATAAAACGCTCAGAGTTTACACATATTTGAAAATTCATTTATTGTTGATGGTGGCAGGAGTGGAAAATAAATATTTTCACTACCTGGTATACCTAAGAAATGAATTAACTATAACAAAAGTGGATTTATTTTATCTCTCACTGTTGTTAGCTTCCAATAGCAATGTTAATTTCACCAGAAATTGCATGCCACATATCTCGTATGTCATTGGTTCTGAAAATAGATGATCATACACGATCCAGCAGCTGGTTGAACTTCTAAAAAATATTTATGCACATTAAGACTTGTATTGGCCACAAGATAGTTTTATAGTCAAACATTTTACTTTTGTTATATTCAAATAATTCAGATCTAGTTATGGGCCAATGTCATTCCACAGCCTTTTAAATCATATATAAGCTGATTACATTAGCAGCAGCATTTATTTTCATAAACTAACCAAAGGCACCTCCATTACCCCATTTAAAATTGCATGGCATCTAACAACAGTCAGTTGTTTTAATATATATGGCACTCTTTACCCAGTGTCTTACCTCTGCTCTTAACTCACAAATCACTCTGTCTTTGCTGTTTTGAGATTTAGATTCTTCCTTCATATTGTCTGATAGCTCCTCCATTTCATGACCAAGAAGAATGTCAAACTGAAAAAGAAAGTTAAAATTATAATCACATGATGATATGAAAGGTGGTTACAGGATAATCTACATTCGTCTTTCATTTAGCTTTAGTGTTGCTGTGCTTTTATCCTGTGTGGATCCTGGCAGGCTTGTTGCTGAAGATGTAATGATTGTGGTTGAACCATTTATTGTTATACTTGTGGTTCAAAAATGCTAAGTTGTAAGAAAAAAAATCAGTGAATCTCCATAAACCCCAATTCATCAGTTGAAAAATAAGCAGAATTCAGTTACCCCCACAAACTCCCAAACAACTGATCAATTGATTTCTAAACTAACCGATTAACCCTTATCTCTTCATCCTGAATATCAGTATCTCAGTATTCTTTGTAATCCTTTTTATTTCTATTTTCTATAAAGCATTAATAGTATATTAATTATAACAGAGACAAACTTGGGCAATGAAAAAAGTATACATACACACACACACACACACACACATATATATATACACACACACAATGTAAAAAGTATATATATATATATATATATATATATATATATATACATACACGCAATGTAAAAACTATATATATATATATAAAAGTATATATATATAAAAGTATATATATATATGGCTTGGGCTGATAAAATGAAGAACATCTATAAATGCTGCCAATAAATTTCCAGAGAAAATGACTGCAGAAAAAACAGAAAGGTGAGAAAAGTCCTATAAATGCCAACAAGGATTATTTTTCCACAGCTGATTTTAAAATTAGAATTTTTCAGCAGAACCATGAAATTTGATAAATATATAAAATGTGTATTTGTGCACATATATGCTGTTTTTGTTGTATTGACATATATTTTAAGCTATGTGGGTAAATGTTTACATCATCTGTATTACATAATTTGTATGTAATCTTATAACAAATTAAAATGCAAAAGCTAATATTATACTACCTGTTTAAAAAATTTACAATTACAGTACTCATAATGTTGTTATTAATAGTAGTAATATTAAGTGTTTACTAGTCCCCAGGAACTAAATTTGACATATATTGCCTTAGTTAATGCTAACATAATCCTCTATGTTAGACATTATTATCATTATCCCTACTCTACAGAAAAGTTAACCATGTTTTTAAGAGGCTTAAGTAACTTTCCTAAATTCACAAAGCTAATAACTGGAGGAAGCAAGTTTTAAGAATGTTCTTGCCAAATTCATTACTGGAGTGTTAAGCCATGATTGTATCTATAATTATAAACCTAAAGGTTATTGGAATAATTCTCTGAAAGGCAATAAACTGGTAACAAGAGTTAGTAAAGGAAACAGCAGAAAAATGCCATAGCCCAAGAATACTAGAAATCAACTACAATAATGGTAGAAGCTGATTTCCCCAGACACTGTAGAGAGAATCCATATTCAGAGCTGGTAACATAAAGAGCGCACACAGAAGGCAAGTGGGAGGACAAGAGATAATACCACAGAATTCTTTGAAAGTTTGTGCATGTGAGTCCAACTCACTATCATGGAAGTTAAATTGACAATGTGGCATTAATCCCTGACCCAAACAATAGAGATGTTACTTTGCTAAATAAAAGAGAGGATATAAATAAAATGAAAGCAACCAGTTTTGGTTTAGGATCGCCAAAAGAATATAAAATTCATTTTGGTAATTGAATGTCCCCCATTTAACTTCTGAAATCTCATCATTAAACCACAGGGGATTAAATCCATCAATAAACCCTCCAACTGCCAACAGAACTGTCAATGAACTGTACCACTCAAGAGAGAGGAGGCAGGACAGCAAGTTTTTATAAACAACAGCAAAGGAAGCTCACACCAAATACATCAAATAAATCTATTCATCAGTGTGAGTGGAAAAATCAAAGATATGTGGGCATGTGAAGAACATAAGAATAGCAGAAAGAAAAAAGACAGGAAAAACAGGAATAGTCAAGGCTGAGATTAAGAAATAGAATGTCTAGTAGGGGAAAGAAAAAAAAAACAGAAAAAAAGGGAGGCCATATGCAGAAGGAAAAAGGATGGAGGCTATTAAAATAACTTAAGTAAGAGATCATGGTGGTTTTTGATCAGAATAATGGTGGAAATGGAGAGAAGTAACTAGATCCAATGTAAGATATAAAATAGAATATTAGTTTACAAAACTACTGTAATTACTATTTTCAAGAGACAAAAAGAATGTATTACACTCATAAATTAAGGATGCAGCAAATTAAAAAATAATAATAATAATAATAAAATATAGTCCACTAGGAATTTTTAAAAATATGTCAAAAAATGTATTAGAAAAGTTGGGTAATAGAGTTGAGTACTAGAGTGTACTGGAGTTTATTCCTGGTGCCTGTTGTGTTTCTCATCTACTACATTGGACAGTTCATGTACCCACTGCGTTTGTACTGATGCAATGCTGGAGATCTTTAAGTGTCTCTCTCCAGCCTGTAATTCTCCACTGAACTTTGAATGCACATATCCAGCTTCCTACTCAACACCTCTAAAGGGCACCCCACACTGAATGCACTGGAAAGCCAAATTCAGAACTTCTTCAAAACTGTTTCTGTCAGTCTTTGTCACCTCAGTAAATATCAATACTATCCTTCCCAAAATTATCGGATATGTTAACTTATTTATTGCTCTCACATGCCACATCCAAACTAAAGCTAACTAAATCAGCTTGCCCTTCACAAAACATAATAAATTCAGTTACTTCTTTTCATTTCCACCATGATTCTGATAAAACCCCACAATGATCTCTTATTTGAGTTATTCTAATAGCTTCCGTCCTTTCTGCTTGTGCATGTGGCCTCATACTTCCTTTCTCAAGATAGCAACCAAATAAAGCTTTTAAAAAGCAATTCAGATGATGAAACTCTCCTGCTCAATTTTCTTCGGTAGCATCTCAATCCATCTATTATATAAGTCAAAGTCCTTATTATCCACATGGTCTGAAAACTCCTCAGCCCTCAGCTCCTACACTTGGTGCTTATACTACTCCAGACCCGTGGGCTTCTCACTGTTCCTTTTATACTCCAGGTACGGAGGAAAAAAAGTAAATAAATAAAAAGTAATAAGTATTAAATAAAATACTATACAACTAAAGCCATTAAAACAATATAGCAGGGAAAATTGATGAACAGATTAATGAAACACCTATAGTTTCTCCTTTAAAAACAGAACTACTTTGAACATTTTAAAACTGTACTTTGAACTCAAAATAATTTTTCACTTCCCTGTTCAATTTTAGGTTCAGATTAATGGATTTGTAACTAAAATCTATTTAGCAGCTGAAAAGTTTAAAGCAGTGAACTTACAGATGCTAAAGATGATTAATTTAGTGGAATTATGAATGTCATTCACAACTGATATAACATATTAGTTAAGTTGAAAGTGATGGAAAGAGTACTCCACGAGGTGAATTAGTCAGCATTAGAAAGCATTTTCCAAGTTCCTGTCCTTTTATTTCATATTTATATAGTATATTCTGTCTTCTTTTTTTTTTTCCTGTTTGTACCGTAGTATAATTTCAAATCACTGTTTAAAAATCCTCTGTTGGTACTGCAGTGTTCATGAAAATTTAAACCAGGCAATTTGCCATATTCTTCATCTCAGAAATATCTGCTATACTTCAATATATAGTATTGATAATTATATATTTGAAGTACTTATATATGATAATTTTATAAATATAGTATTACATATATATTTATATGTAATATAGAATACATATTATATATTTATACATATTTATGTATATATAAATATATATAAATGTATATAAATATATGCTTTATATATACACTTATATTTATTGTACTATACTTATATTTACTGTAATCCTTGACTGAATTGTACATAGTGGACAATGCCCTTGTTCAAGACTCTTCCTTGGACTTATGCAAAGAATGGTTTTCCTACTTCTGCACTGCTCAGATCTCTATGCTGTTTCCCCTTTTCTCTCTGCCTTGCCTGGTTTCAATTCAAATATCCTTTCTACATTCATAAATCCAAAATCCTACCAATACATATAAGTATACTTATAGATATTTATATAAACATACATAAATATATAAATATGTATTCTATATTACATATATAAATATGTATTCTATATTACATATATAAATATATATTCTATATTTAGATAAGTGTGGAATGGAAATACCTGAAGGTAATGCTTAATAAACAAAGGTGTTGTGTAACATGAAATATCTTCTTATTCATATACGGTAGAAAAAGAAGAGTAATTACAAAAAGGCGAAAACGAGAAACGTGCCTTATTGCCATTTTGCCTCACATTTTAACCTTCAAAATGATTGAAAAGAATTAAGTCGTTAATGCAGACTCCAAAGTTCTGCTCTTTGTGAAATAATGCACCAAATATTTACGTCAATATTATTAACCATGTAGGATTGTTCAATCTTCCCTGAACACCAAATCTACTATTTCTGCCATAACTTTCAACAAAGGATCTTTCAACTTCTTTCATAGAGAAATAAGAGCTTTGCATAGTAAAGACCTCCAACTTCCTGTGATGAAATATACAAATATGCAAGTCTTTACAGAAATCTTTTATCCTTTTAAATAACTTAAATATCTCTTCTTTTTTAAACATATTTAATATTTATTTGTTTATTTACATATTTTTATTTTTTAGAGACAGGATCTTCCTCTGTTGTCCATTGAGTTTCTGTAGCTGGAATGCAGTGATGTAGTCATAACTCACTGCAGCTTTGAACTCCTGGGCTCAAGCGATCCTTCCATCTCAGCCGCCCAAGGAAGTAGGATTGTAGGTGCAGGCCACCACACCTATATCTCTTCTAAAGTCAAAGTCTAATCACTCCAATCGCACTTAGAATTTCATACCTTCAGGGTACCTGGCAAATTCATTCTAGGGGTTGTTTCTCTCATGCATCTTGAAATTTTCTTGGGTTCTTCTCCATTAGCATTTAATTGCTCAGTACTTTCCATTTAGGTTGGGGATGAGGGAGTGTGGAAGATCAAG